TCTCTCTCTCTCTCTCTCTCTCTCTCTCTCTCTCCCTCTCTCTCTCTCCTCCCTTCTCTTCTGCGACTGACTGCTAGGGTCCTGCTAATAAAATATCGGACAGGTAAAGGTTGTTTTGGCTTGTTGAGTTTATGGAGCTTTTCCATCATCCTTTACATTGGTGCCAAAAATGTCAGATCAGGCGAGGCAGCGACCAAAGGATGCAGATTTAAAAGGGCCACTGAACAGGCTTTAATTGAGATACCACTCCCAGGCAGAACTCGATCAGACTGGACTTTTATGGAGCTTACAGCAGGAAGGGAAGGGCTTGGGACAGGAAAAGGTGTTTCTAGAGTCCCTTGCCCCCTTGGAGTTGGTCAGGGGAGTTGGATGAACTCCAAGATTGGCCAGGAGGTCCTGCTGATTGACAGGCATTAGTCAGGAGATCTGGCTGATTGACAGGCATTTCTGCCAGCATCTGGTTGATGTTTTTTTCCTGTGCAGGCTGCTTTGTTCTAAGTCACCACCAAGTCGCCACCACTGACCTAACACAGTTCTGGAAGCTAGGAAGTCAAAAGATCAAGACTTCAACAAATTTGGTGACTGGAGTGCCCTTTCTTAAGAAATGGCTCCTTCTATGTGTCCTCATATGGTGAAAAAAAGCAGGGGGACTCTTTTATAAGAGCTATAATCCCATTCATGAGGTTGGGGTTATCATCCAAAAGCCTCCTAAAGATACCACCTCTTAATACTGTCACACTGGATATTAGGTTGAAACATAAATTTATCCAGCCATGTCACCTTGTGTTTTATAGTGAAAGCATTTTCATAACTACTCACTGTAAGTTATTCAAACACATTTTGTAGCAATTACACTGCAGACTTCTAGGGATCGATATATTTAAATATAACATACCAGGCATCAGTTCAAAGGTCTGCTCAATCATTGATCCAATGTGTTTCAGCATTAAAATACATAATTATACATAATTTACAACTGCTTAGTATAGCAATAATTGCAGAAATAAGTAGAGGAAGAGACAGAACAAGCCAATAGAAAATTAAAAACTAAGTTTCATGCGCACACAGAAAAACTCTCTCCCTGAAAAATGTCAGTGTAATATTGAAAAGTTTACCAGATGAAAGCAGGCCATCTGCTTTTTCATTCCCACTAAGGTAATTGATAATCAGTAATCAGCTTGAAATTCTTTTCTAAAGGAGACCTTTTGTTGGTAAAAGAATAATGGTATACGAGCAGGAAATCTTCCTCTGTATAGACCCGAGTGATTGACCGTCAGTGTCTATTTTTGTTGGGATATGTCAGTTCCATAAAGCTAATCAACCTATTATCTAGATCTGTTTGATGTTGCCAATAAAATGTGAGGTAAAATTATATCATGTGTAGTTTTAGGTGTCAAAGATTTTTAAAAATAAATTTGATATGAAATTATAACACCTGACCTTATAGGTAAAAAAGTAATTACAATTATGTTTACCAGAATTTTGAAAAATCGATCTCTAGATTCTACTTTTTCATCATTGTGGCCTTCTGAAAATAAGAACTCACTTAATTACAATATACCAATAACTTGAGAATGGAAAGATAGTTACAATAACCTATATTATTTTTTCAAGTACCAGCACAAGAATGAAACTTCACTTGACCCTGCAATGCATTACTGAAAGAGTAAAAGAAACTGAAGTTAAAATGTAAAGGACCAGGTATTGTTAAGTTTCTAAGCTACACTCAAAGCCTGAAATTCCTGTAGCTGTTAAGACAATTCCTGGGACTGCCCATTAGATATGTGTAGGAACCCCCCCTGACCACTTAGTTGCTTAACAACTTGGACCCAGTGCAGCTCAGCACGTAGGCACCTCAGGGCCTAAACCAATCAGTTTGAATGTATACCCTGCTTTAGGACTGACCTATCACCTCCCCCCCGCCCAACCTCTTCCCTCCAATGAATGTACTAATCATGTTTGAGAGTTGTTGTTCGATTTTTCTGCGCCTCATGATGATTTGCTCTGATATATGCAAAGCCCCCACCCTCCCCAAAAAGTGTACTTAAGCACTGCTTAACCCCTGCTCGGGGCTCTGGGCCTCTCTCCCTTCTTGAGTGAGCATTGAGCCCCAGCATGCTGGATCTTCAATAAACCCCTTTTGCTGTTGCATGAGATGGTCTCTTGGTGGTCTCTTCCTCCGTCGTTTGCCGATCCCTTACATTTGGGGGCTCTCCCAGGATCCCCGCAGCGCCGGACAAGGAAACCCCATCACTCTTTCCTAGTAATCCCAGACTCCTCTAGGGGTAAGTAAGGTGCCTTCTTCCTTTTTCTTGCGATCACTCGGAATTTTGGTTTAAAGGTTGGCAGAGTGGCTGCTGGCGGAGAGCGTGAGCTACCCCGGTGGTGGTGGACATACGTGTCCTGAAGCCACAGACCACATCCCCAAGGGATGCCTTGGAGGACTCGGGAAACTGGGGGACGGAAGCGCCCTCAACTCAGGTGTATTCAGTGACTCTGCTGCCAACCCATCAGGTTCTGCCAGCTACTCAGTTCTGTTCATTGTCTCGTGTTGAGTTTATTGTCTGTCTTTAGGGTCTAGCCCATCAGGTTTTGCTAGTTACTCAGTTCTAATCTTTGTCTCGCACTCGTGTTAAATGTTTACTGTTTGTCTTTATCATCTGTCTCACATTTGTGTCATTACTGTCACTGTTTGTGTATCTCCCATTATGGGACAAAGCCATTCCATGCCTCTGTCTCTGACCCTCGATCATTGGACTGATGTCTGCTCAAGGGCCCAGAATCTTTCTTTTTCAGTGAAATGCTGGACCTAGCAGACTCTCTGTGCTTCAGAATGGCCCACCCTCAGAGTTGAATGGCCCCCAGAAGGATCCTTTCACCTCCCTCTAATCCGCGAAGTCAGAGATATTGTCTTTCAGCCGGGGCCACATGGCCATCCAGATCAACAGCCATATATCTTAACCTTGCAGGACCTCTGTGAATCTCCTCCCACATGGGTGAAGCCTTTCCTTGTCCCTGTCCTCACTCCAACCCCTTCCCCCACGATCCTATCACTCAAACCTTCTGTTCCTCCCCCTCGTCCCTCCATTCTCCTTCTGGGGACTCTCTTCACAACAGAGGAATGAGAGAGAATCCTCTTGGAAGCCAGAAAGAATATTCTTGGACCAGATGGGCGACCAACTCAACTTCCCAACATCATCGAAGCTGGCTTCCCCTTAAACTGACCCAACTGGGACCCAAATACCTTTGAAAGTAGAGAGCATCTGTCCACTTATCACCTGGTTCTTATAGTGGATCTCTGAGCGGCCGCCAGGTGGCCAACTAATTTGGCCAAGGTAAGAGAGATTATCCAGGGGCCTAATGAATCTCCCTCAATGTTTCTGGAGAGAATTATGGAAGCATATAGGAGATATACTCCCTTTGATCCTCAGGCAGAGGACCAAAAGGCATCTGTTGCAATGGCGTTTATCGGGCAGGCTGCCCTAGATATTAAGAGAAACTTACAACATTTAGATGGATTACAAGATATGACCTTAAGAGATTTAGTCAGAGAAACTGAGGAAGAGAGGGAACAGAGGAGGGAGAAGGAGAGGGAACAAAAGGAGGATGAAAGGAGCAAAAGGAAGACTAAAGCATTGGCTAAGGTCCTGGTCACAGCCGCAGATAGGCCAGAAGTTAAAAAGCAGGGAGACAGGAAGGGATACCTGGGCCCACACCAAAGGCTGCCCCTGGCCTCAGATCAATGTGCCTACTGTAAATAAAAAGGACACTGGGCCAAATAGTGCCCCCAAAAGAAGCAGCCACGCCAGCCTGCCATGCTGACTCTAGAAGATGACTAGGAAAGTTGGGGCTTGGATCCCCTCCCCGAGCTCAGGGTAACATTTGAAGTGGAGGGGACCCCAGTGAACTTTGAAGTGGATACAAGAGCAGTATACTCAGCCCTTAAAACCCCACTGGGCCCCCTATCAAATAAAAGGTTCTTAGTTCAAGGGGCTAATGGCAGTAGATATTGGGCTTGGACAACAAAGAGGACTATGGACCTAGGAAAGGGAAGAGTCCATCACTCTTTCCTAGTAATCCCAGAATGTCCGGTCCCATTAATGGGCAGGGATCTGCTCACCAAACTCCAGGCTAAAATAACCTTTAACCCTGATGGTCCCCAAGTGGAGTTCCTAAATCCTTCAGTAAATACTCCCATAGTCACGGCTTTGACTATGTCAGTAGAAGATGAACATCAACTCTTCACGCCCCCTGGGATTGATCCAACAGGCAAACTACCCCAGAAATGGATAAAAGATTATCCTGATGCCTGGGCAGAAACTGCTGGGTTAGGTCTAGCCATAAAACAACCTCCAATAGTAGTAGAATTAAAACCCTCTGCCTCTCCAATCAGTGTTAAACAATATCCTCTAAACAAAGAAGCAAGGGATGGAATAAGGCCCCATATCCAGAAATACCTGGCTCTTGGGGTCCTAAGGCCCTGTCAATCAGCCTGGAATACCCACCTCCTACCAGTAAGAAAGCCAGGAACTGGGGACTACCATCCTGTTCAAGACCTAAGAGAGATCAACAACAGAGTGCAGGAAATTCACCCCATGATACCAAATCCATATAATTTGTTTAGCACTCTGAATCTGGAGCGGAGATGGTACACTGTGCTGGACTTAAAAGATGCTTACTTCTGCTTTCCCCTACATAAGGACAGTCAATTGTTGTTTGCTTTAGAGTGGATAGACCCAGAAACAGGAACATCTGGCCAACTAACCTGGACTAGACTCCCACGGGGGTTCAAAAACCCTCCCACTCTCTTTGATGAAGCCCTCCACAGGGACCTCAACAACTTCAGAACTGCGCACCCCGAAGTCACCTTACTCCAATATGTGGATGATCTGCTGCTGGCAGCCGACACCAAGGAGAACTGTGAGTCTGGGACCCAAGCACTATTATCCGAGCTTGCTCAGCTTGGATATAGGGCTTCTGCCAAAAAGGCCCAAATTTGCCAGCAAGAAGTAATCTTCCTGAGTTATTCCCTTAGGGGTGGCAAACGATGGCTCACTGAGCCCAGAAAATGAATCGTTGTGCAGATACTGCCCCCATCTAATAAGAGACAACTCAGAGAGTTTCTTGGGACTGCCGGCTTTTGCAGGTTATGGATTCCTGGGTTTGCGTCTCTGGCTGCCCCTTTATACCTGCTGATAAAGGGGGATGCCCAGTTCCAAAGGACCCCTGAGCACCAACAAACTTTTGATAATATCAAAAAGGCGCTGCTATCTGCTCTGGCCTTAGCACTCCCAGATGTAGAAAAACCCTTCACTCTCTACATTGAGGAAAAGAAAGGAATAGCACGGGGGGTGGGGGGGGTGCTCACTCACACTTTGGGACCTTGGAAAAGGCCAGTAGCATACCCATCAAAAAGACTGGACCCAGTGGCTAGCGGGTGGCCCCATTGCCTAAGGGCCATAGCAGCGGCAGCCCTTCTAATAAAAGATGCTGATAATTAACGTTGGGACAGAAGTTAACCATTATAGCCCCCCATGCCCTGGAGAGCATCATCTGTCAGCCTCCAGACAGGTGGCTATCAAACTCCAGAATAACCCACTACCAGAGCCTCTTGCTTGACAAAGACAGAATAATGCTGGGAACCCCTGCTCCACTCAACCCAGCTACATTGCTGCCAGAAGAATCATCAGTTCTCGTCGCTCATGATTGTCAACACATACTGGCAGAGGAGACCAGTGTACGATGAGACTTACAGGATCAGCCACTGCCTCGCCCTGAGGTCGTATGGTTTATGGACAGGAGCAGCTTTCTCCAAGACAGTAAGCGGCAGGCTGGAGCAGCAGTAGTTAGCAAAACTAATGTCATCTGGTCCTCTGGTCTCCCAGAAGGGACATCAGCTCAAAAAGCAGAACTAATTGCCCTTACGAAAGCACTGGAACTAGCAACAGGCAAAAGGGCCACCATATACACTGATAGCCGCTATGCATTTGCCACTCCTCATGTGCACAGGGCTATTTACCAGCAAAGGGGGCTATTAAGAACAAAGATGAGATCCTCCACCTTCTCTCGGTAGTAAGAGGCCCTAAAGAACTAGCTATAGTGCACTGTCCAGGGCACCAGAAGGGGAACGACCCCGTGACAGTTGGAAACAGACGGGCAGATGAGGAAGCTAAGTTGGCAGCCCTAAACGGAGTGACCCTGTTAACTGTTTCCACGCTGGGGGAACAACAACCAGGAGACTTGGCTGCACAGGAACATTCAGGCAACTTATCTTCTGGGGACACAGATACAGAACTCTGGGACCCTTCAGAGCCAAGTTTACAATTTCAAAAAGCCCAACTTTATGTCAAAGAGGTACACCAGCTCACCCATTTAGGCTCAAAGAAATTACAGGCACTCTTAAAGGACCAAAGAAAGGACTTATTGTTGACTGTCTCACAGAGGAAAGAAATAGCTGAGCAGGTAACTAGAGCTTGTCAAGTCTGCCAATTAGTTAATGCTTATCCATCCAAGCTTCCTGCAGGAAAGCACTCACGAGGAACCAGACCCGGACAATTCTGGGAAGTGGACTTACTGAAATTAAGCCAGCAAGGTATGGACTTAAGTATCTCCTAGCCTTTGTAGATAACTTTTTCAGGATGGGTCGAAGCCTTCCCCACAAAGAAACAGCCCAGACCGTGGTCAAAAAGATCTTAGAGGACATTTTCCCAAGGTTCGGCCAGCCTAAGGTAATAGGGTCCGATAATGGACCAGCGTTCATGGCCCAGGGATTGGCCAGGACCTTGGGGACTGATTGGAAGTTACATTGTGCTTATAGACCCCAGAGCTCAAGACAGGTAGAAAGGATGAATAGAACCATCAAAGAGACCTTAACGAAATTAAGCTTGGAGACCAACATAAAAGATTGGACTATGCTCCTACCTTATGCACTGTTTTGTGCAAGAAATACCCCCTCCACCTCTTTATGTAACATCACCCCTTATGAGATTCTCTATGGTTCCCCTCCTCCAGTAAGGGACCTAACCCCAACTCTGAGACTTAATGATTCCTTTCACACCCCATTGTTTAACAGACTTAAAGCCCTTGAACAAACCCAGCGGTACCTGTGGAAACAGTTGGCCACTGCCTATCATCCCAGAGACAAGGGAACCCCACATCGATATCAAGTGGGAGACTTTGTCTACGTGAGACGGCATCAGGTGTCATCCCTGGAACCCCGCTGGAAAGGACCATACCAGGTGCTGCTTACAACACCTACTGCAGTGAAAGTGGATGGGATTGCTCCCTGGATCCATGCCTCCCATCTCAAGCCTGCGCCCTGTCCAGACTCTGGCTGGAAACTGGAACAGACTGGTAACCCTCTCAAGTTGCATGTCCATCATGTGGATAGGGCTATGGATTCTTCCCCTAACCACCAGCAGTCCTAATCCTTATCAGCCTGTTCAGCAACAGTGGCAAGTTATAAATCCCACTGGACATGTAGTATGGTCTATTTCACATACAGCCCCCTTATGGACTTGGTGGCCATCTCTCCACCCGGACATTTGTCAACTGGCCATAGGCCTCTCTGACTGGGACCTCCCTGACATAGAGGACCCCACACAAATCCCGCTCGAACCCAAACCAGGGCAACATTTCCCACAGGGTCACCATATGCATTATGGATGTAATCACCCCCATTTTAGGTGTAGACAAGATTATTATGTGTGCCCAGCTGATTTCTGAAGTTGCAAACAGGCCCGAACCTGTGGAGGACTCAGTGACTTTTATTGCAAATCTTGGGGTTTTGAACAAACGGGAGCTGCATGGTGGAAACCAAACTCCCCAGATAGCATGATTCAGGTAGGGCAAAATGACACCTGGATAGATCCCAAGAACTGTTTGGCCAGCCAAGTGTCAAAAACTCGCTGTGGAAAAAATAGTCTATGTAACCCCCTCAATATAACTTTCACTTCCAAAGGAAGGGGCTATCTCAGAAGAAAATGGCTTACAGGAAATACTTGGGGAATTCGATTCTATGTTTATGGCCCCACTTATGACTTTGGCCTCTGGTTCACCATCTGACTTAAACAGGAAGAACATCCCACCGCAATAGAGCCCAATCCCCTCAAGTCAGGAATTAAGCATCCTAAACCTCCCATGCCTAGAACTACCAGAACTCCTCTACCATCTCATTCCTCCCAGTTTCCGTCTTTGCCTACTTCCCCAGTCCGGAGTACAGCTGACTCCTCCCCCTGGGAATTGATTAAAGGAACCTTTATGGTACTGAACTCCACAGAGCCAGATCTCACCCAATCCTGCTGGCTATGTATTTATGCACACCCCCCTATTATGAAGGGATAGCAGTCAATGGGACTTATGCTTGAAGACGCAGAGTTCCACCTGTAGTTGGGGCGAAAATCCAAAGTTAACTCTCCCAGAAGTAACCGGGGCAGGTTTATGTCTAGGGTCCCCACCCAAAAGTAAACAACACATACGTACCCAGATAGGAGAAATCAATACCACACAGGGCTTTCTAGTCCCTGAGAAAGGAACCTGGTGGGCATGTGACTCAGGATTAACTCCTTGCATTTCAGCTCAGGTATTTGACAGCTCTGTAAACTATTGTGTAATGGTGCAAATACTCCCCAGGGTGCTTTATCATGATGCAGAATCATTTGAAGGTCTAGTAGGGGGACAAACAACCCATTTCCGCAGGGAACCAGTGTCCCTCACTCTAGCCATCCTATTAGAGATAGGAGCTGCTGCAGGAGTAGGTACGGGAGTGGCCACAATGATCCGTGGGTCACAACAAATGGCTCAATTAGAAACAGCAATAGATCAAGACTTGAAGACATTAGAAACCTCTATCACAGCCTTGCAGGAGTCATTAACCTCTCTCTCTGAAGTTGTTTTACAGAACAGGCGGGGGTTAGACCTCCTCTTTATGAGGGAAGGAGGCCTCTGTGTAGCACTAAGGGAAGAATGTTGTTTGTATGCTGACCATACTGGCGTCGTAAAAGAATCCATGAGTAAACTAAGAAAACGCCTTGAAGAGCGCCAGAGAGAAAGGGAAACTCAACAAGGGTGGTTTGAGTCTCGGTTCACCCAGTCCCCCTGGTTAACTACACTCCTATCAGCCCTAGCTGGACCCTTGATCATCCTTATGCTATTACTAACTGTGGGACCCTGTTTGCTTAACCGTATAGTTTCTTTCCTCCAGGCTCAGATTGGACAGGTGAAACTCATGGTAATCAGACAGCAGTATGCTCCACTGGCAGAAATGGAATGTGAAATCCCTCAATAATTATGATCTATCACTTTTAAGATTAAAAATAGTCAGAAAAAAGGAGTGGGAAATGAAAGAGTAAAAGAAACTGAAGTTAAAATGTAAAGGACCAGGTATTGTTAAGTTTCTAAGCTACACTCAAAGCCTGAAATTCCTATAGCTGTTAAGACAATTCCCGGGACTGCCCATTAGATAATCCCCCCTGACCACTTAGTTGCTTAACAACTTGGACCCAGTGCAGCTCAGCACATAGGCACCTCAGGGCCTAAACCAATCAGTTTGAATGTATACCCTGCTTTAGGACTGACCTATCACACCCCCGCCCCCGCCCGACCTGTTCCCTCCAATGAATGTACTAATCATGTTTGAGAGTTGTTGTTCGATTTTTCTGCGCCTCATGATGATTTGCTCTGATATATGCAAAGCCCCCGCCCTCCCCAAAAAGTGTACTTAAGCACTGCTTAACCCCTGCTCGGGGCTCTGGGCCTCTCTCCCTTCTTGAGTGAGCCCGGAGCCCCAGCGCGCTGGATCTTCAATAAACCCCTTTTGCTGTTGCATGAGACGGTCTCTTGGTGGTCTCTTCCTCTGTCGTTCGTCGGTCCCTTACATTATCACACAATGTTCTGCACACATTCACTGGAGATTTAATGATAACAGTACATAATAATACATGTTCATAAGTTATAATTAAATTCAAAGATTTTTATCCCAAGCTACTAAATTTCAAAAGATTGAAATATATTTGTTTCATTTGTTACTCTTTTAACTTCTTTGTTTTTAATGTATCTATAATGTATCATTTTTAATGTAGTCTGTTTCAACTAATCCTATGCATTTCTCAAAGTTATTAATATTTTCCAGTTAAAAATGTGGAAGCTAAGTAGCTGAACACAAGGAATTCAGGTCCCAGATATTCATGTGTCAGTTTATGAAAGCTAGGATTCCATAAAAATCTCTAACATTCCTTTCTCAAAACTAATATGAAAATAAACTTAATATGGAAGGTTCAAATCTCAGTTTGGCCATTTAAGAACTGAACTTAGACAAGTTACTCAAGGTTGCTGTGCTATTGTTTCCTGATCTGAAAACAGGTAATGATTATTGGACCTGCCTCAGGGTGTTACTGGGAAGATTAAACACATTAGTATATGAAAAAGTCTTAAAACACTACCTCAATAGTAAGTGCTGTGTAATCAGTTGCCATTGTGGCTTCTTCAAAGTGATAAACTTTAGTCAATTTCCCTAAGGTTTTCCTGACAGACTTCAAAAGAACATTACCATTTTAATGTGAAATTATGTCAGCCATGAAACTCAGGAGAATGATGTACAGATGATTTTTGGCTTCCCTTTGCTCTTAGGATCAAGAGAGAAGTTTTGTATGAGGTCTAAATTTCCCAAATGCTTTAGCTCCTACCTTGTTGTGCAGCCTCAAGATATTCCATGCTCAAACCATAATGACCCTATCTCAGCCCCTCAGAATATTTTCATAGTCTTTTCCCTTTCTATTTTGTCTTACAGATCTATACACATGACCTCTGGCCAGGATGTTCTTCCTGCACTTGTTAACCTGTTCAAATCCTGTGTAGCTTCAAATGTAATATTAGTGTCATTGCCTCAGCCAAATCCAAAGTTCTGGGAAACTCTCCTTATAGACTTTATCTGAGTTGTAATTTTATATCAATTTGTGTCATCATTTGAATATTAATTGTTTCTACCATTATATTTTTTAAAATATTTTTTTAGTTGTCAATGGAACTTTATATATTTTTAAAATTTATTGATATGTGGTACTGGCAATCAAACCCAGTGCTTCACACATGCTAGGCAAGTAGTTTGCCATTGAGCCATAACCCCAGCCTTCTATCACTGTATTTATAAATACCTTAAGGGAAGGGATTGTGCATGCTTTGGTGACTGATACACAGTAGGAACTCAATATTTATTAAATGATTCAATAAATGGAAGAATGAGAAGAAATTTTCATGTCTCCTTCATTTATACTAAATATAAAACAAAGAATGAACATAAAAATATTGATGGCCATAAATACTTTTCATGAAAAAAGAAATAGGCATTCTCACTGATAATTTATCTGTAAGCATATTTTTTAATTCATAGGCAAGAATAACTTTGAAAGCAAAGAAGAGGAAAGCTTTGAAACAACATGATTAGACACAATCTTAAATTTAAGCACTTCAGATATTATTATGTGTCAGCGAGCTCTTACAGAAAGTATTGACACTTCTGATGATTACAAGAAATTTCTCCCATAGGGTCTAAAATAGAATTCTGAAGCCACTTTCTGGAAAATCATATCTAAATAGTTGAGTTATTGAAAGCAATTCCATTAAGACAGAAATGGGGAAGTATCTTTCTTCTTGTCTTCTAAAAGTAGTCTGAAGAAAACAAACAAAGCAAACTTCTACATATCCATAAGGGTCAGAGGTGTGTTATTACTGTTTATATTTTGGAATCCACTCATACATACAAATCACCCCCCCCCACTTCCCTATAACCTTACCACAACTGTAACATTTGTGATGTGCTTTGGTCATCTTATGTGGTTTGAACATAGAAACTGTAGAAGACAATTCTTATACAACTAAGCAACTGTATATACATATTTATTTTAAGCCATTGTATTTGGCTGAGGTTTTTAGTAGAGTTAAATTACCCCATTCTACACTGTTATACTTAATACTAAGGGAATAATCCTCAGAAATATAAGAAGCACATAGGAATTATTAAATTATATTCAAGTGATGTAAGTTTCACATAAGTTTATAGACAGTTTTATGAAGGCAATGTACACAAGTCAGATATTAGCCCTGAAATAACTCAGAGAAAATTATACTTATTTAAAACATTTTTGAAAGCTCTAAGAACAAACCTACAGTAAGTGATAAAAGTATAGTGTTCTCTACACTTTACGTCAATATTAAATCATAATTACTTAAGCTAGCACTATGATGGTACCTTTTAAATACAGGTCTAGAGATTACATTTTTAACTTTGCAATATAACATCAGACTAATGATTATAGATGTAACAATGATCTTAATTAGAACTAACTGAATGGGAGAAGAGAGCTAGTTAAAAGTAGTCTGGATTATCCATGAAAAGCTCCTCAGGAATAAAGTCATCGCTCAACAAGTTTAAATCTGCATCCTCTAAAAGAAACCCCTCAGGATTAGAATCATCCAATAAAGGACCTGAAGAAGTGGTTAAATTTATTTGTCTTTCAGATGCCATTTCAATATAACCACCAAGCCTCTGGTCTAGGACTTTACTGGTCCTAGACAAAATAAAATGTAATGGAGCATTAAATGCAACCAGTTTGGATTGATATACTTTTTTTCTAACCAGTGGAGGGCCTTGGCGAATGGGATGGAAGGCCTTCTCCTGTGTCCATCTGGTAAAATTTGAAGGAGCCCATTCTATTGGAAAAGGAGGCTGAGTAAGGCCTTTAATTGTGTGGTGACACTGAGGGCAAAAACTAGCTCTAAACATTCGATCTTGGTCAGTTTCAGAATAATCATTTTGAACAAGTCTAGTCTGTTGTAACCAATGTCCCAGAGCCAGAGTGGGGAGACATGGCTCCTTACAATCAGGGCAACACCACTTCTCTAAAGACATCTTTGTAGCAAGATAGTATAATTAGTTAATAAAAAAACAAAAGCATACAAAATTATAGGAATAATAAGCCTTTATAACTAAGTTGACTTTTAGACTTAAAATTTAAGTCCGAGAAAATAAATTTGACATTTATTTTTCCTCTGGTTGGAAGCTTCTGTATCTAGGATAATATAGTAATAGCAATAGAAGAATAACTCATCAACAAAATAATAATGGGCTAGTTAACAAATTTAACTTTGTAAACTCTCAGCCCATGAAATGGTGAAAACACCGATTTGTATTAAATAGAAGAGTACAGAGAAGCAAGTAAGTAGAATATTTTTAATATTAACAAGAGTGGTTTAGCTGTATATTGGAGATCTATCCCACACTGCAGATTTAAATTTGATATGTTAACACTGTGGTGGAATTTGTTGAGGGCCAGTTGTCTCTTCCCTCAATTCTAAGCTCAGTATCAGTTCTTTAGAACCAGTACAGGGAAGAACAAAATGTGTCACTTCCCAGTGACACAGTTCACAGGCTCTTAATATTAATTCTCTAAGATCAGATGGATTTTAGATGAACAGGGAAGCTTCTAGTGAACTAAGACATGAAGGATATTTTGCAAAGGGATCTACACAGTCATCTTGGTGAGTGCCATTTTTATATTCTCTTGATTTTTAGAAGGATTTGACCAGTCTGTTTCTTTGTTAATTGATTTTCACCAGTGAGCTGGGTTAAGTCTGCACTGCAGTCTCTTAGTTGTGTGAATAAGTGGAAAGTTTGGTCAGGCTTCTCAAAATATCCATGGCAAAGTCCTTTCTTCCTGGTGCTCCCAGATCAAATCTCTTAGAAGTTGTTGATGAAAGGAATCCAGGTGTACTTGAGGATGTCTGTAAAAGAAAATTTTATAAATCCTATGAAAATTTTGATAATTTATACATATGATACTAAAAATTTTATTGAGTATTATTATGAGTTAATAACCTTTGTAAATTTGATTTATTTTACCAAGTTATATTATTATTTGATGTTTAATACTTTGCCATTTTAGGGGGCTTATCTCTGAATATTAATTTCTTCACTTTAGTAGGTGAAAGATGAAATATCTGTATGAAGGTATTTATAATAATTTATTTGTGGGAGGGTAGAGAAGAATACAAGTACTTTGGATTAGAAAAAAACATAGGAATGAAGGGATGAGAGAGGGAATAGGAATAGAAAAGATAGTAGAATGAATCAAACATTACCCTCCTATGTGCATATATGATTATATGACCATGTATTTCTGTATCATGTACAACCATAAGAATAAGAAGTTATACTCCATATATGTATAATATGTCAAAATACATTCTATTATCATGTGTAACTAATTAGAACAAATTTAAAAAAAAAAAACCTTAGATATAATATGAAGTAGAAAGCAAAAGGTATTGCATTGTATCTTTTTGATATAGATATATAGGAGTTTTAATATTAACATTAAAATACAGTTGTATCTTTGCAAAAATACTAAGTTAAAAAGAAATATTAGATCCAAAAGAATTAGCCAGGCAGTTTCAGATGGCAGAGGGAATTCCCTGATTACACTGAGCCTTTCACATATGCTGACAGAAACTTAGTTTTGTATGAGATATTGATTCTAAGCAATAGAACTATCTTAATATGAAAGTAAAATCACTTTTGTTTAGGTATGATTTTTTATTATTAATTTATCTTTAAATTGGTGAGAAAACTGTGTTCTAAGATGCTGCTTCAGAAAATAAGTGACAAAGATTTGAAAAACTGTCACTGCTTTAAATTAGCAAATTGGGTTATCCATCTGAAAATTGAATAATAAGGGGCTGGGGTTGTAGCTCAGTGGTAGAGTGCTTGCCTAGCATGTGTGAGGCCTTGGGTTTGATCCTCAGCACCACATAAAAATTACAAAAATAAAATAAATGTAAAAGAAAATTGAATAATAAAATTAAATTGGATTAAGATAAAAAAGAATTTTCTACCATTTGAGCATTTTTAAAATAGTGGTTTTAATTTTAATGTAATATAATTACACAGACAAGACAAATCTTTTGGTATGTTTTTTGTAGCCATGTTTTATAGGGAAAGGACCAGAAAAATATTTCTTTTTATTGCTAGAAGAAAATTAGTTCTACCACAGACAAAAGTAAAGACTGCTAGTTAGCAAGATAGACAAAAAATATTTTTATTTTTATAATTGAGATATGAACATGTTATAATCATAGAGATACTTATTTACTAAAAACCATGAACTTATTGTAAACTTTTACAGTAAAAACTTATTTGGTCAAAGTTTCTAAGAGAGATCACAAACACTAATCTGGAATTAATATCTTTCAGATGGATGTGTACTAATTTACTTAGAAATTACATAAATATAAGAAAACATCCTAAATTTATTCTTAGAAAATTAATTAAAATGAAATAGACAACTCAGGGTACCAAAGAGAGGATTTGGTTTGGAAAACACAAGAGGCAATCAGTTGCACTAGCATTACTTTCCTTTAAGGATGCATATCCAAGAATTTGATATTTTTAGAAATGAGACCCTTTAAGATAATCTATTCCATGGTTTAAGATCAATTATTATTTTTCACCAGGAACTTCCCCTAATTATTGATTTTTTTCTTTGTGATTCTATAAATTATCTAGTAGCTCTGAAGTTTTATTGGATAACAATAAAATTAGCTTGTATAAATATGTCACATGATTACATCTTCTGGTAGCATGGCATCCTGACTAGTCTATCTATTGTCACTTATTCTACCTTGAGTTCTCTCCTGGGGCCAATGATGAAAGATCTAGCCTTTACCATTCTCTGAGGACCTCACAACCTGGGGGTTCTACTCAGGATCTGACCAAAGGTCAGCCCATAGCACCCTGACAACCCTTCAGTGTTGTTTAGTTCAGATGATATAAAATGCAGAAAACCAAAACTCAGAGAATTGCTGTTTTAAACCAATCTTTACCAGAAGGATGATAGAGTAGTGAGTAGAGGTTGGAGATAGACTGCCTGGCTGTAAATCCAAGTTCTGCAAATTTATCTCTGTATAAATTTGATTTTCTGTGCCTCAGTTCCCTCATCTATTAAGTGATGACAATAAGAATACCTAAACCATTGTACTCTAATGAGGTTTAAGTGGATTAATGTTTATAAAGCACTTATAACCATTCATAGCCCATAGTGAAAGCTTAATCTTAAACCATAAATTAGGTTCAGAAGAGCATCTGTCAGATGACCTGACTGAAGTCACTTTGTCAGCAGAGTCAGGACTAGAAGATTTCCCACCTTAGAAAGTCTGTATTTTCATGTTTCTGGATAGAGTGATGTCCACTTCCAGGTATTTATGGTAGATCACAAGTTCATAAATTGTCATGGCACAGGAATTAACCATTCCACACCGGTAATCAACCTATAAGTAAGAGCTTTTGTTAGTAATGTAAGGGATAAACTAATTTCAATTACAAAGACGGAGGAGGCAGTGAATTGACATTCTTAGGTTTTATTACTTGTCATTTAATATTATAGGATATCTGGATATATCAGAAGATTCACATTGATAAAGTATCTAAACCTCATCCAAACCATTTCTCCTAGGGTTAAACAACATGCTAAAACAAAACTAAACAAAAGTCTGAAAAAAATTTACATTGTAGGAAGTTGAGTTTTGGGAGAAAATAGAGGGAGGGAAGATAAAATGATATGAAGGAATTGACCTTGCTTCTAAATCTTTTCCTTTCATTTTACAAAAGTGGCCTATTAATTTGTATCAAATCTTGGATGGGGTTAGAACATTCCCAAGCAAGATCAGTAACAGGTTCATTAGAATTACCTGAAAAAACTTGAAAATTCATATCCCTGGGCTCCACTAAAGATTTACTAAACATGTATGGGGAGGCCCAAAGTTTACAACTTTTAACCATGTTCTACCATCTTTCACAAACTCCCTCCTCCCTCCCCATTATTGCAAGTGAATCTTATGCACAGTGAAGTTGTGGATGATTGGATTGGTAACTCCAGAAGTGAGATGAGATGAAAATTCTCCATGACAATCCTGCCAGAGTTTCATCTTAAGTGTGAAGGGTGCCTGTGGGCCATCCAGTCAGACTCTGCATGCTAAACACCAAAGAAAATTACAAATGAACTTCTAACCCTCTTACTCTAACAAATCTCCAGCATGCTTCCATTATATTTACAGCCTAAGAAGTACTTTTAAAATAGTTTTCCACAAAAAGATTGTAACTTCTTTCAACAAATAACTTTATTTGATAATCATAATGTAATGGCACTGAACAAAAACAAAATGTTTAAACAAAATATTATAAAGAATGTGACATATGCTAAATATAGACATGTTTATACATACTCTATACAAACACTACATAAGCTCCAATTCAAGAAAAATAATAATAATGTTAGATACATATTTTATTGTTTCCTGATATCTATAAAATAACCAAATTAAATTTCTATTACCATTCATTAAATTAAGAATCTAGTACTATTTGACACTAAAATCAGACACACCTAGAAAAATTTCTTAGGATAATTTCTTCATAATCCTTTATTCTATGTTTTTATTTTTATATTTTATTTTTATGTGGTGCTGAGGATCAAATCCCATGTCTCACACATGATAGGTGAGTGCTCTACCTCTGAGCCACAACCCCAGCCCCTATTTTATGTGTTTTAACGTTTTGTTGGGGAGTAGAGATCATGGTTCACTTGGACAAGCTAACAAAACAAAGACTATCTCTCCAGAAAAATGCACATAGACACAAAATTTTTCTACAAATTCACAGGATTCATATATACTCCATGGCTTATGGATTCTGGTTAAAAGCTCTTTTTAGAACTAGATAATTGTAAAAAGAATGTATGAAAAATATATTCCAATTCCTGGGCTGGGTTTGTGGCTCAGTGGTAGAGTGCTTGCCTAGCATTTATGAGGCACTGGGTTCGATTCTTAGCACCACATATAAATAAAATAAAGGTCCATTGACAATTAAAAATATATATATTAAAAATACATTGAAGACAAACAAAAAATTGAAATTCCAAAGGCATTCTACTCCAAAGAAACCAAATGTTGAGCCACTGAATTACATTAACTGTATGAATAATTTTTTTTTAATCCAAACACACTAACCTGGATTGTTGTGTGTCTTCTAACTTTTAAGAACATTTTGTCCATAATTGTAACTTTTATCACTGGTACTCAATGGCAATCTAGAGATTTGATGGCAGCTATTATTTTTTCATATCTTATTGATTTAAAAAAAATAAATGACAGTGGAATGCATTGCAATTCTTATTATACATATATACAACAATTTTTCATATCTCTGTATATAAAGTATTTTGACACCCAATTTGTGTCTTCATACATGTACTTGGGATAATGATGTCAAACACATTCCACCATCCTTGCTAATCCCCTACCCCCTCCCTTTATCTTCCATTCATCTTCCCTATCTAGAATTCATCTATTGAGTGCTTGCCTTGCATGCACAAGGCCCTGGTTCAATCATCAGCACCACACACAAAAAAAACAACAAACATGTGATCAGGAACTGAGTCAGCCAGCTAATGGTAGCTATTATGAGAAGAAAAATTCAGTTTAAGACAATGTCATGTTTTTTAGTTTTATTAAGATATCATTCTCCTGACATACAATTAATCCATTTAAAGAACCCAATTCAACTTATATTAGCATGGTCTTACATATGTACAAACCTCACCACAGATTTAAACATTTTTATCACCTTAAAAAAGAAACCTCATACACTTTATCTATCATCTTCTACGCTCTATTCATCCCCCACTCCTAAGTAACTATTAATCTGTTTTCTGTCTCTATACATTTTCCTATTATGGACTTTCATATGAATGGAACCACATAATATGTGATGTTGTGTGACTGGCTTTTTTCACTTAGCATAAAATTTTCAAGCTTCATCCTCATTGAAGCAATCAGTAATTTATTTCTTTTAATAGTCAAATAGAAAGTTATTGAATGGATATACTCTATTTTGTTTGTTCATTTGTCAGCTGATGAGCATTTAGATTGTTTCCATGTTTAGGCTATGGTGAATAATGCTATTAAAAGCATTCATGTACAAGTTTTTGTGGACATATATGTATGTGATAGCTACCTAGAGAAAGATGTTAGATAGATAGATAGATAGACATGTATATATGAATATAGATATAGATATAATATATTTTGGTACTTGGGATTGAACCCAAGTCATCACACATTTTAGGCAAGTGCTCTATCACTGAACTGAATTCCCAGTCTTTTATTAATTTTTACTTTGACACAAGATCTCTCTAAATTGCCCAGGCTGGCCTCAAACTTGCAGTGCTCCTGTTTCATCCTCCCAAGTTACCAGAAGCATGCACCACTACACTTAGCTAGATGTGTTTTTCTTTCTCTTGGGTATATACTTAAAAGTGAAATTGATGGATCATATAGTAACTCTATGTACCCATTTGAGGAACTTTCAGACTATTTTCCAAGGTGACTATATCATTTCACATTTCCTCCAGCAGTGTATGAGAGTTCTGTTTCCTCCACCTCCTTGTCAGAAGTTGTCATTATCTGACTTTTTGATTCTGGCCATCCCTAGTCAGGGTATATTGGTATATCTCATTGTGATTTTGATTTCTCTTATAATTAGTGATGATGAGTATCTTTTCATATGATTTTTGGCCATTTGTTCATCTTCAGATAAATGTCTGCTCATGTCATTTTCTCTTTTTAAAGACATGTTAGTTAACTTTTTTGAGTAATAATTGTTCTCTATATATTTTAGATACAAATCTCATATCAGGTAGGTTATTTGTAAATATTACGTGTATTTTTGTTGACTTTTTTTAGGGGGACACCCAGGGGTGCTTAACCACTGAGTAATATCTCCAGCCCTTTTTAAAATATTATTTTGGGACAGGGCCTCACTAAATTGTTGAAGGCCTTGCTAAGTTGCTGAGGCTGACCTCAAACTTGAGATCCTTCTGCTTCAGCGTCCAAAGTCACTTGGATTACAGGCCAGCATTACTATTCCTGGCTTGTCTTTTCATTTCTTGATGGTATCCTTAGACTTACAAAATTTTTTAACTTTAATAAAATCCAATAACATCTAGTTGTTGTCCCCCCCCCAGTGGGTGTGTGTGGTTGTTGCCATGCTTTTAGTATCATAGCTTAGAATCTTAACAAATCCAAATTAATAAAGAAAGATTTTTGCTAAGAGTTGTATGGTTTTAGCTCTTACATTTTGGTGTTTAATCAATTTTAAATTATTTTTAGATATAGTACAACATAAGACCCCACATTCATTCTTCTGCATATTTTCCCAGCACTGTCTTACAAAAAGATTATTCCTTCCATCACTGAATTGTATTGTCATCATTCAATAGAAAATCAGTTGACCACAGATGTATTTATTTGTGGAGTCTCAATTCTAGTCCATTGATATGTCTATCTTTGTGTCAGTATCACATTATCATTGAAAGATTATGGAAAATAATATTCCTACAAGACAGCCCCCAGAGAAAACCCAAAAGATGGTGCAGCTCAGGAGGATGGAGGAGAAATTAGCCAAGCAATAACCTCTCCCAGTAAATCCTTTACCCCAAACTACAGGGCCTTAAGGAAGGTGGCTGATACTGAATGTTGTACTCTGGACTTTGACCTTCTCCCATTGCAAATTAGTCTTAAATGGAGGCAGGGTAAACACAGAAACTCTTGGAAACAATGAATCCCAGAAAAAGAAAAGCAATGGGTGAGATTTGAATACTGATCCCCTTGGGATCTGGGCTCCTATACTGCCTTCCTGAGTTAAAGTTTCAACCTGCACAACTAGCCCCTGGCTGTCTGAATGGCACATCCACAGTTTTCAGTGATTAAACCACCCTCATTGTGCCCTATAAAACTAAAATCCCCTCTGTAACCAACAGCCATTTTTGCATCCAGAAAATAAGCCCCTATGGTGCCTGAGTCCAAGATTGAATAAATGGCTTCTCTGAATCTGTTGAGGTTTGTATCCATCATTTTGCACTTACAGTCATGATTACTGTTGTTTTTTTTTAGTAATTTTTGCCATCAGAAAGTTGAATCTCCTACTTTCTTCTTCTTTTTCAAGATTTATTTGACGAATATTGGTCTATTGGAATTCCATATGAATTTTAGAATCAACTTGTCAATTTCTACAAAGAAGTCAGCTGGAATTTTGATATGGATTGAATTGAATCTGTAGCTCAATTTTGGGCATATTGTCATCTTAGCAATATTATGTTTCCCATTCCATGAAAATAGGATATTGTTCCATTTACTTAGAAACGTAGTTTCTTTCAAAAATATTTTGTAGTTTTCAAAGTATAAATTTTGATTTCTTTTGTTAAAATTATTCC